TAAGTTTATAAACTTAAAAAGACATTATAACAGTACACTTTTAATAAACTAAAAAAAATAGTCCCGATTTAGTACAAACGAGTATTAAATCAGTACACTTTCTAGTACACTACAAGTACCGTACATGTGCCTAGTATATTTGATTTACTTAAACCTATATTCAGGTTTACTTATTAAAATGAACTTCACGTTCACTACTTCTTGTAAATTTTTAAAGGCCAACAATGCGGAGCAGCTCAGAGTTGACAAACATTCAGGGTCTAAATATACCCCACCCCGTGTGTGTTTACCTTGGACACAGTTGAAGGAACCAGCCCCACTGCGGCCATGTACGTGCTGCCGATCGTCTTGATTTTCTCTATATCCCTGTAGCACTCTTTGTCCATCAGCTGGAAGATAAAAAAAAATAAAATAAAACAAAGGAAAAAAACAAACCTGGTAACGGTGTTGGTAATAAAAACTATATGTTGTGCTGGTCGAGACGCAGCGCCGGGTTTATCCTGTTTGTGTAAATTAATGCTTCATGTCACTGATTATAGATTCCAGTCAACCAAACGTCAACTGTAAGTGATTTGTTATAGTGACAAAGAAAAAATTCCCAACCGTGACCATTGCTTATTACATTACATCATGGTGTTTTTGCCCCCCCCCCCCACACACACTTTTAAACCTCAAGTCATCGCTCCGACCGGAGATCTGCAGGGAAACAGATGAAGAGCGAGTGATTTACGGACCGCTCGGCCCCACCTCGTCAAAGTCGGCGATGATCTCATTGAGCAGCCGCAGACACTCGACTCCCATGTTGTTCCCATCCAGCTCAATGTAGAAGTCGTTGAAGTTGGCGATGGAGGCGAACAGCACGCCGACCTGAGCGTACGACTGGTAGTACAAGTCCTGGAGGGAGGAAGCCTTCGTCAGGACACTGATTCTATGAGGAAACTCATAAATAACTGTTGCTGCATTTTGTTTTTACCTCAAATGTGCGCTAACAGCAGTGGTTGTGCTAACCCCACTGATAGCCGAAGTGGCTTCTCATTTAGCCTTTTTCTTTTAGCTAACCAACTGATCAGCTTCCACTAAATTAGGTTCTGCTGACCTTAAATAATAGAAATATAAAAACTGATTTCTGTCAGTCCCACCAATCTGTTTAGCCATTTAGCRTTWGCAGAGCTAACATTCTTGTTTAGCGGATTAGTGGTTAGTGAACCTAATTTTTGGTCAGTTTTTGACAGTATCTGGCTAACAGACAGCTAACTATTTGCTAACAATAAAATGCTGGTAAAGGCTAGCTACAAGTAAAGGCTAACTGAAAGTATCTAGCGTAAGCTTAAAGCTAAAAGAAGCAAAAGGCTTCCTAAAAGTAATGTCATCAGTGGCTAACCTAAAGCTAATTATATATATAAAAAAAAACTAAACTGAAGCAACAAATAATTACAGGCTAGCTGAAAGTAATGAAAGACAGCTTAATGCTAGCTAAAACTAAAGGCTAGCTGAAAGTATCCAGCATAAGCTAAAGGAAGCAAAATGCTACCTAAAAGTAAATCAGTGACTAACTTAAAGCTAATTATATAGAAAAACTGGCCTGAAGCAACAAATATTTACAGACTATCTGAAAGTAATGAAAGACAGCTTAATGCTAACTAAAATTAAAGGCTAGCTGAAAGTATCACTAACTAAACCTAACCATTAGCAGCTGATGCCTAATCTTGACTTTATCTTAGCCGAAACTCAGTGGCCACTGCTAGCTAAAAAGTTAGCTTCAATAAATCTGCTAACTGAAAAAAAAGCTTTGCTAACACTAAACCACTAAACGTGTAAAATTAAAAAAGGGGACGCTAACACTTAACAGCTAAACAAGTAAAATGAGTGAAATGTAGCACTAAAAGCTAACCTAAGCTAATCTCCTTCCAGCTGAAGACTGGTGGGACTGACAAAAACTTATTGATGTTGTGAACTTAAGTTGGCAAAAACTAATTTAGTGGAAGCTTATCGGTTTGGTAACAGTTTTCAAAATTAGAGAATACGCCAATCCGCTAAACAAACCAATAGTTTGCTATTAGCTGATTATTAGAAGCATATTTTATATATATATATATGTACACATATACACACACAC